ATTGTGTATACAATGTACACGTAGTTGTACATGATTGTACAGTAATCATCATACATGTACATGTCTCTGGCCTGTAGATGGCTCAAAAAGGCATATTTTTCAATTGATTTCCCTTGCATATTGAATTTTTAGTTCCTTTCAACTGCAATATGAAAATAAAGTACACATTGACATAGAGCAAGAAAAGAGTTTGATTTTGATATGCATGTCATACCATACAAAATATGGGTTCACATACATTCAAATGGGACTTCGGTAATAAGGACACTTCGCGAATAAGGACACTTTTCTGATGCCCTGCCGAATGTCGTTATTGGCGAAGTTGACTGTACACCATGCAATCCCAGTATTTACCTATACACCATGCAATCCCAGTATTTACCTACACACCATGCAATTCCAGTATTTACCTATACACCATGCAATCCCAGTATTTACCTACACACCATGCAATCCCAGTATTTACCTATACACCATGCAATCCCAGTATTTACCTACACACCATGCAATCCCAGTATTTACCTACACACCATGCAATCCCAGTATTTACCTATACACCATGCAATCCCAGTATTTACCTACACACCATGCAATCCCAGTATTTACCTACACACCATGCAATCCCAGTATTTACCTATACACCATGCAATCCCAGTATTTACCTACACACCATGCAATCCTAGTATTTACCTACACACCATGCAATCCCAGTATTTACCTACACACCATGCAATCCCAGTATTTACCTACACACCATGCAATCCCAGTATTTACCTACACACCATGCAATCCCAGTATTTACCTATACACCATGCAATCCCAGTATTTACCTATACACCATGCTATCCCAGTATTTACCTACACACCATGCAATCCCAGTATTTACCTATACACCATGCAATCCCAGTATTTACCTATACACCATGCAATCCCAGTATTTACCTATACACCATGCTATCCCAGTATTTACCTACACACCATGCAATCCCAGTATTTACCTACCACCATGCAATCCCAGTATTTACCTACACACCATGCAATCCCAGTATTTACCTATACACCATGCAATCCCAGTATTTACGTACACACCCTACAATTCCAGTATTTACCTATACACCATGCAATCCTAGTATTTACCTACACACCATGCAATCCCAGTATTTACCTACACACCATGCAATCCCAGTATTTACCTACACACCATGCAATCCCAGTATTTACCTATACACCATGCAATCCCAGTATTTACCTAAACATCATGCAATCCCAGTATTTACCTATACACCATGCAATCCCAGTATTTACCTATACACCATGCAATCCCAGTATTTACCTACACACCATGCAATCCCAGTATTTACCTACACACCATGAATCCCAGTATTTACCTACACACCATGCAATCCCAGTATTTACCTATACACCATGCAATCCCAGTATTTACCTATACACCATGCAATCCCAGTATTTACCTACACACCATGCAATTCCAGTATTTACCTATACACCATGCAATCCCAGTATTTACCTATACATCATGCAATCCCAGTATTTACCTACACACCATGCAATCCCAGTATTTACCTACACACCATGCAATCCCAGTATTTACCTATACACCATGCAATCCCAGTATTTACCTATACACCCTGCAATCCCAGTATTTACCTATACACCATGCAATCCCAGTATTTACCTATACACCATGCAATCCCAGTATTTACCTACACACCATGCAATCCTAGTATTTACCTACACACCATGCAATCCCAGTATTTACCTACACACCATGCAATCCCAGTATTTACCTACGCACCATGCAATCCCAGTATTTACCTACACACCATGCAATCCCAGTATTTACCTATACACCATGCAATCCCAGTATTTACCTATACACCATGCAATCCCAGTATTTACCTACACACCATGCAATCCCAGTATTTACCTACACACCATGCAATCCCAGTATTTACCTACACACCATGCAATCCCAGTATTCACCTACACACCATGCAATCCCAGTGTTTACCTACACACCATGCAATCCCAGTATTTACCTATACACCATGCAATCCCAGTATTTACCTGCACACCATGCAATCCCAGTATTTACCTATACACCATGCAATCCCAGTATTTACCTATACACCATGCAATCCCAGTATTTAATAGATGACTTGCACAAAGATTGTCTGGGTTCGAGACGGGGCAAGTGGACCTTCTGACTCTGACTTCCCCACCTTTTGAGTTCGTGACTTTCGAAGTTTCGCTTTTTGCCTGACGAACACTGAGCTAGTTTTTTGGCTAGAGAGTAGAGTTGTTTTGATTCGGCTTGTATCGTCATGCCGAAGCGCTGCTGCGCTCCTGAATGCACTAGCAGACGAGAGATGGAACTGAGGCTCCCATTCCATACGTTCCTTTCCGAGCCGGCCGGCCGGGAGGCAGAAAAATGAGGGAATATTATTTTAGTATCATTCGTGTAGGCTGCAACAAGCACGTCGTGGTCCTGAAGTGTGACTACTTTCTCGCAGTGGAAGCGAAGTCAAGCACAACGAAAGTTTGTGAACGTCTGAGAAGGAACTCGATTCCCTTTGATTCGGCTGCACTAGCTCCAGAGCGACCCTCTCCTAGGACAGACTGCGGAGAGGCCAGGAACCTGCCGAGTCACGAGTGGAAGCCCAAACCAGAAAATGAAGGGTGGAAGGACTGAGTGTGAGAGCCAGATGGCCTTTAGTAGTACTTCAAGTAGTATCTGAGTTGAAGGAGAGAACAAGTGTGCTGGAGAAACGCTGCGAAGTCCTCAGGCCTGATGTGTACTAGCTACTGTTGAAGTCTCACTTGTTCCGATATGAACACTTCATCAGCCCTGACTCTGAACAGCTGTATCTACTTGGACTTAGGCCAGAGACATAGCATTGTAAACCTTACTGATGCCATATGTATCCAATGCCTGGCTCTAGTGAGAAAGAAGTTTGGCGCAGGCTCGCAAACTATGATTGAATCAGGGAGTGGTGGAAAGTCACATTATACCTCTCCATGATTAGCTGGTAATGACGACGATGCGGCTCCGGCTGGGTCTCATGGGAAAGTAACTTGCATACCTGTTTAGTTGCAAGGAGGCAACGGTACCCCATGTACTGAAGACATGATTGAATTACATTTTATCTCCTCCTGGGAGAATGTGGAACAAATAATGCCAGAGTGTGTCTGATACACATCACAGCGTGCTGAGTATGTTCATTATTGTGGACGTAACAGAACTGCGCTGTGAGGTACCTTCTGTGTTGGACCTACAGTTGAGCCACTACTCTTCTTACAAATTCCATATAACGGTGAAAGGATTTGTTGGAGCATCATCAAACAGTGCATTCACCTTCATCATACACTGGCTCCGTTGCCTACAGTAATTCACATTTTGTCGGGGCGCGCTGGTACGATACGGAAGGAGCGGCGGGAACCATTGGAGTGCTCATGATGCTGGCTAGCGGAGACGGATGTGAGTGTCATGAACGGGAACGCAACCGCACTACTGTACAGGTCAGGAAGCGATGGAAGAGTTGAATCTGTTCAACCTTCCATGCCGTGTACAATGACACAAGCGTAAAAATGGCTACATTGCGAATGTGAACTGGCGATGGCATTGTGTGGCGACGAACACAACTGCAACTGTTCAAATTTCAGCATTTCGAACATTATGCTTCCCATGATAACTCACCGAATGGCTCACATGACGGAGTTGGACATTACCAGGCTAGGATTATCATTTGCTGTATTTATGGATAGTCCTTGAGTTTTCAGATGAAGTGCTTTATCTTTTACCTGTCGTTCCTTTAGTATGGCACAATGTCCATGGCTGCTTCCTTGTCTTCATAACAGACTGGTATAATCAGCGTGATTCTGCTTTATTTGAGAAGAAATAAAACTCTCCTTTCGGAAAGGAAGCCCAGAAACGTCAACCGCCATGGACTGTGCTTTATGACTCTCGTCCATCGACGTTAACCGTCGCAATAACTGCTGCATGTATGTTGTGCTGTGCGAACCGTACAAGATTTTACAGCTCACCCACGCCTTCCCAACAGGCTCCTATATCCCGTACCGTTAGCGTTACATTGAATATGAACTAGGCTAGCACAGTTATCCTTCGTTCTTTTGATGGCGGCGGGTAGCATGGAACTTGACGTGTTCTTGGGATCCTCGTGCAACACTTGCTGTTCCCGGATGCCATATTATTGGGTGCATCGAGGTTGCTTCTATGCTCCCTGTTGTTTAGTAAGACAATTTTTTTATAACTATTTCACCGAAGAATAAGGCAAGAGTATTTTGGGTTGGTTTGGACGCCTGGCTTCTCTTCACATAATATACAGTCATGTACTTCCACTAAATCTACAAGTGCTCATGCATGACTCATGAGCTGCTGAAGACAGTGACGGTACTGATCATGTACATGTACAAGCTGTGCACCGTTCATTCATGCTGACAAAAAAGTACACTACAGACGGTGTAGGGTGCCCGCAGTGTAGCCTGGGTACCGGGTGCACAGGGTGCACTTGCCCCGTCTCACTCGCGGCTCGGATCTTTGTGCAAGTCATCTATTACACACCATGCAATCCCAGTATTTACCTACACACCATGCAATCCCAGTATTTACCTACACACCATGCAATCCCAGTATTTACCTACACACCATGCAATCCCAGTATTTACCTACACACCATGCAATCCCAGTATTTACCTACACACCATGCAATCCCAGTATTTACCTACACACCATGCGATCCCAGTATTTACCTACACACCATGCAATCCCAGTATTTACCAACGCACCATGCAATCCCAGTATTTACCTATACACCATGCAATCCCAGTATTTACCAACGCACCATGCAATCCCAGTATTTACCTATACACCATGCAATCCCAGTATTTACCTACACACCATGCAATCTTATCATGTACAAGTAGACATTGCTTTTCATGTGCTCATGTTTATACTGTAGCAATGGAAGCAGCATCTGAAGAGGAGAGTAAGGACAAGTATCGACCACCAAGTAGGGCTAATAGGGACAGTGATCACTACTACTCAACCAATGTGCCTCACTCAGATCTGGTGAGAGCATGTGAAGATGACGATGTGGAACAAATCCGACAAACCGTGAATATCGGCACTCCAACCGAGCCTGTGATTAGACCGGATCTCTTGGAACAAGTGCCCGAGCCATACTTTCGTGTTTGGATTGGTAGTGTGAGAATTCCCATGACAATCATGGTAAGTCAGAAGTATCTCCTACCTCCCCTAAGTGAATGCTGCTTTGCCAGTGTCGCACCAAAGCAATTTTCACCTTTCAAACTATGTACAACTTGCAATTAATTTCAACGACCTTTAGCGGTGCATTAGTTTAGGGCTGCAACGGGTAGGGGTTTTATCAGGTAACGGGTCCAGGTATTTTATCCGGGTAGCGCGGGTACCCTATCAGGTATTTTTGACACAGTTTGTACTGTGAGTGTGCACTTGCGCTACATAGAAATTGTACGGTAGCATGTACATGTAGCCATGCTGTTTACATGCACCGTTGCAAAAACACTGTACTCCAACCACCTGATCGATTTCTCAGGAGAAAAATGGATACCCTACTACTTCCTCCGGAAACAAAAACTTCGTGACTTTTTGACATTACTTTTCAAGGAGTTACTGAGCTCAACAAAAGTGTTCTTTTGGAAGAGAAACACTTCAACACATTCAATCGACATATCTACAATATCTACAGGATCGATTAGTGGGAGTAGAGTGTCAGTCTGGGTCGCCATCGCTCAACTCATCACCGCTGAAACCGTTCCAAGTGGCAGGTCGATTAACGGGATATCGTATGTCACGAAGCTTCTCTGCGTCTCTGATCATCTTCGCTGTTACCTGGATGCCTTCTCCAACTATTTGCTTTCACTCAGATAGCAACCGGTTTGTACATGGGGTAGTGGTCTATCCGAGAATGTAATCACGAGTAGTGGTCCACCCGAGAATGTACTTGGGTAGTGGTCTACCCGAGAATGTACGTGGGTAGTGGTCTACCAGAGAATGTACGTGGGTAGTGGTCTACCAGAGCATGTATGTGGCTAGTGGTCTACCCGAGAATGTACTTGGGTAGTGGTCTACCCGAGAATGTACGTGGGTAGTGGTCTACCAGAGAATCTACGTGAGTAGTGGTCTACCAGAGAATGTAGGTGGGTAGTGGTCTACCAGCGAATGTACGTGGGTAGTGGTCTACCAGAGAATGTACGTGGGTAGTGGTCTACCAGAGAATGTACGTGGGTAGTGGTCTGCCAGAGAATGTACTTGGGTAGTGGTCTACCAGAGAATGTACTTGGGTAGTGGTCTACCAGAGAATTCACTCCGTGTACCGTATTACACACTCCCAGCCACACGCTAGCAAAAAAAAACAAGGCAAAAAGTAATAAAGAGTAAGCCTGCCAGCAAGAGAGATGTCAGTGCAAGACACGGGCAGAGCAATGGCACGGTGTGGGTAACTGGGCAGCAGGGTAGCACCTGAAAATACGACTCCCTAAATTTCCAGCCATGACCGCTACACCGGGCTGGCGGAAAACTCGCCTTGCCGCCAAAAAACTCTTCTAGTAATATGGGACCTGCCGCACTGCCAGTCACAACCAAAAAGCCGAAGATAAGCAAGTGGAAGAAAGCAATCATACAAAAAAACGCTGAGCCCCTCGGAAGAGAAACACAGCATGCCACATGCCATGGAAAACCAGAAAACAGCGGACAAAACAAGCAAAACCGTACAGGACCCAAGGGTGGGTGGGCGGTAAAACTCCAAGCTAACATGAGGAACACAGGACCATGTCATAACATGTGGCAACTGAGCACTACTAGCAAGGTTTGAGCTTCGTGATTCGCAGGCTCACACGTTCACCCCCCCCGTCCGTTGGGGGGGGGGGGGGGGGGGCTGTGCCCGCGTCGTCAATCTGCCACTCTCCTCGGCGGCATACATTCCTCATCCTCAAACAGTGGTCGCCCAATTAGCTGGAATTCCAACTGGACCAGATGCCAAGGGCAGTGTGGGGAGCGCACCTCTACAGTAATGTCAAGGCCGCCACCCAAAATTGGCATGCATGGCCACCTCCTCCAGCAACTGGCCAAGTACATCAGCTCCACCCGCCAAACAGTCCAGCAAGTAAGTCACCCATGGCAGATCCCGACCCAAGGATGGCAGGGTGCCACGCCTCTAGCTCTGCTTTGAAGCAGGCATGTGAAGACAGTAGTAACACACAGTTTCTGTCACTCACCATACCAGCCAGCCCTGCTCTTGATTCCAATATGCCACGTATTCACATGCCCATCAATGTTGTCAGCTTTACTTGACTGCTCACTGATCATTTAGGCAAGGCATTCTCCACGTTTGTGAGCAGGGGCTTATAATCTGGATTCCGCATAGCCCTAGGCTTCATGGGTCGCCGTCAGACTGTGAAGGACCCAAATATTCGCTCATGTGCCGAACATTCCTTGTACATGCTGGAGTATCTAGTATTCACACGCCCACTGAATTCGTCCGCTTTACTAGACTGCTCACTGATCATCCAGACAAGGCATTCTCTTCCTGCGTGAGCAGGGACTTACAAGCTGGATTCCCCATAGGCTTCACGGGTCGTCATCAGACTGTGATGGACACTAATCTTCCCTTATGTACTGAACATCTCGTGTACATATCAGAGTATCTGGCAACATCCTGTGCACAAGGAGAGACCTGCGGCCCACATTTCATCCCTCCATTTCCATCCTTCCAGTACTTGGGCATTGGCATGGTGCCCAAGAAGAATAGTAAACTACGCATTTCCACCATTTATCAGCTCTAGGTGGCAAAAGTGTTAACGATGGCATTGATCCGTCCGCGTTTAGCCTGTCTTATATTCGGATTGACGACGCAGTGCAAACAATCATGGCCTACGGGTAGGGTGCATTGCTGACACAGCTGGGCATCCGCAATGCATTCCGCATTCCGCTCATCCCTGTGCACCCGCCGGACTGGTCTCTGCTTGGTATTCAGTTATTATTATTTTTTATTATTATTATCGTAGAAAGGAAAAGGACATATGGATACGAGTTAAGAGTAACTCTCCATCACTGTAACTGGATACTATATACAGTCAGAAAGTGCAATAACTAGGCACAAAACTGACAAGAGTACTGAGACATTCAACGTCCTGACACCTAGCTTCAACACATCTCCGTAGCGCTAACCGACAGCCTTCCAACTTGGAAGGTTCAAGGTTATGGAAAGACCAAAGAGGGGAAGGCAAGCGCTTTGTCAAATATCCGTACTGGTCTCGTCGTCGTCCAGTAACAATCGACATTCTTTGTTCCGTTGGGACTGTAGCTTTTGCTCGTTGTTGTTGCGCTTGCCTTCCCCTCTTTGGGCTTTCCATAACCTTGAACCTTCCAAGTTGGAAGGCTGTCGGTTAGCGCTACGGAGATGTGTTGAAGCTAGGTGTCAGGAGGTCGAATGTCTCAGTACTCTTGTCAGTTTTGTGCCTAGTTATTGCACCTTCTGAATGTATAATCCAGTTAAAGTGATGGAGAGTTAACTTGTATCCATATGTCCTTTTCCTTTCTCCATTTTTTTATGGCTAAACATCCGAGTTTCAAATTATTAGAAAGGAAAAGGACATATGGAAACGAGTTAAGAGTAACTCTCCATCACTGTAACTAGATACTATATACAGCCTTTCTACTTTTATTATTGTCTCAATACCCGAGTTTCAAATTATTATTATTATTTTGTTTGTTCGCGTTTGCATCAACCTGCAGAAAGCAGGTATATAGCCTTCGCTTAAGCTGCCATAAAAAAGAAACCTCATCCTAAGCAAGAGGACTAGCGGAAAAGATAACGATAACGAGATACAGAATACAAAGAAATCCAATGAGTTAAACGGGTATTCAGTGGCAAGGACATTTTTACTTTGATCGAGTGCTGCTGCCGTACGGCCTACGCTCCAGCCCACACAACGCAAACTCGACCACTTCTTGGGAAACCCTCCTTTGCGTCAAGCATCGTCGCACCAGGCAGAACATTTGCACGGCACTTATTGCATATCAATAAGAGGTTAGCCGATCGCCAATGCTCTGTCTCGTTTCAACCTGCAAGCATTCCATCAGCTGGCGCCATCGGCACGGCAAGCCCCAGACACTACAATCCGCTTCCCACTGCTGGACTGATGCGGAAGGTTGCCGACCTGGCAGCCATGGCAATCGCCCTGACAGCATGGCGAACATACACCACTTGGAAAAGGTAATTTATGCAATTATGCGCGTAGTGGAGATGGACGCCCCTGGCGGCTACAGACATAATGCTGAGCTGCTTCGCAGCACACTTCCCGCAACCGGTGAAACTACGAACAATTCATGTGTATATGGCTGCAGTGTGCAACACGAATCTTGAAGCCACTCCACAACCTTGCCCGATTGCGCCATCCTGACATATTTGACTGCCTATCTATCTGATGGCAATGACGCACTCTTCCGCTACCACTCTGGGAGACTGCTGACTAGGCCAGATCGAGTTGCTGTGCCTTTCTGAGGCATCGAGAGGTAGTTTCGAGAGGACGCTAGTAGTCGTACCGCCATGCATATTGAGATGAGAGGTGCCAGGATGGATTCGCTTGGTCCTGATCATTCCAACAAGCCCAGGAAGACGAAAATCCATCAAGGTCAACTGAACTTAGAGAAAAATGTTGTTCGGACCTTTGCGCGAAAACAATACCAGGAGAGTCAGTGCGCTGGAAAGGCAGTTTGCTGGAGTAAACGGGGCCAGCACGGAAAGGGTTAATCAGGGCAATGGGCCGATGGAGGAGCAACATTGTCCTGCGCTACATCAGGACGACCGACACAGACATGGTGCAGCTGATCCAAAAGCTGCGAGAGGTACAAGCGCATTGCACAACACAATGAGGTATGTAAGAACCCGCCACGTGGGCACACACCTCACACTGATGCATGTGCTCATACAATTGCTTAGACCAGCTGCCGATTGCTTGGAACAGCATGGCAATTTGCTCTGATAAGGTCATGCTGACAGACTGCGCTGATAGCAACAGCAGTGTCATTCACATACGTGCATTTCAATATGTCACAACTTCGCATGGACGTTGGGCAAACATGGGCAAGCTATCTCCTCTCATCTGGCAATCTACCACTGCCTTTGGCCATCACACTCATACGCCCACACGCACTTTGTGCGTGAGCGGTCCGCACTTCGTGCGTGG